GGGGGGGGGGGGGGGTAAGGGGAGCTCGAAAGAACCCCCCTTTTTGCAGGAAAAAGGTCCCCTCTGGTAAAATTTGTACCTAGGGACACGAACGTTTTATGGTAAAAGGTCCATTTTTTCAGAAAAAGAACCACAATGTTGAAATTGCTGGCTACGGGCCTGGGTTAGGTTAGGTTAAATGGGTTACTGTCTGATACGAACTGGTGTCTAGGAGAAAGTACAAAAACCCCACCGCTAAGTAAAAAAAGATACTAAAAACTAGAATAAATGAAATATAACGGTAAACATTTGAAGATAAATTGCACTGTAGGTTATCATTAACTTAAATGACAGAATATCAAAATATGAGAAGAAATGGCAATTCACTGTGTGGACTATTTTGTAAAGAGTCGGTCTTTGTGCTTAGACTCCATTCTCATAGATCATTCTGCATAGATTGATCCAACTCTGCATGAATTCTCGCTTAGTGCAATCAGCTGAACTTAATGACACGCCCCCTCCTGGAGTTGAGTAAATCAGAAAAGCGGATCATTATACGAGTACTTTGGAAACAAAAGGAGGCGAGTCAATCAGTCAAGTCGGAGTTGGGTCGATCTAGTTAGCCTAATGGTATCTATGAGATTGTGGTCTAAGCACAAAGACTCCTAAATCCGACCCTGCTTCGTAAAAAAGTGCACAGGCACTATGTTGAATACTTCTTTCTATGCTGTCCCTGCTTTTTTCATATTTAATGCCAGTGAATAAATCATATCAACATACAAAATTCTTTTTACCTTGTTTGACCTACATAAAATAATCGATAATCGTTCTGGATGATCATGCGTGCTACACTTTACAATACATCTCAGTAAAATTGGTGTCATTTTGCTCGCTGAAATATTTTATAAATGAACGGCCCAGATCTTAATCTCTTATTATGTCCATGTCTCGACCCACTTTAATATGGTAATCAGAAGGCTCGCCAACCAAGTCAATGTTGATTCTCTGTCCTCGAGAGACGATCATAAATTTTACTTTGACAAAATAATGACCAGACAGGAGTGGAGGGTTTTCGTAAATTTAAGATTAGAAACGTACATAATTGACCTGGTGATATTTTAATTGAGATTTATGAGAAACCACTTGATGAAATGCCCCCCTTCTCTCTCTCTCTCTCTCGTTGAGCTTATTTGTTCGTTAAGTATTGAATTGATACATGTGAGTTGACCTAATTTGTAATTTACATCAACCTCCCAAAAACGTCTATTCAAATCTTTGATTTTATGGCTATAAATTCTTTAAATATGCAGTGGTTAGAAAGTTTTCATAAAACACACGAAGTTATGATTACATGTCAGCCGCAATACACAGTAAATTTTGTGAGTTCATATGCAACGTTATTCATCCATCTTGGCTTTCGGGCACCGGTTAAAAATAATGCAAACTAATGCCAAGAAATGTGAAACCACCCATTTTCCTAGTCGAATGAGACGGAACTGAAATAGATGATAACATAATGGTTTGCGGATACTTATCAAAATACATTTCGAAGCTCCTGGAAGCAGTAGATACTCGTGTTCATAAAGATTCATGGTACAAAATAATTGTTTGAGAACTATGCTATTATCTTGCTGTCATATTTGGTTGTTACGCTCAATTCTCATGAAGGAGAGAGAGAGAGAGAGATGGTAAAACAGTATCAGCCTGAAAACGGAGATTTGTGCTAATATGCCATAGGGATAATCATTTGGGAGGAGGTCCACTCATAAAAAATCTTCACATCATTAGTGCCACAAGTGTCTACCAGTATATGCTGCTCTACTGGTTTAACCGGTAAATAAATGACGCCACTTGCATTTGAAATCTAATTGTCTGAATCGTTCAACTATATAAATGTCAGTGTCAAGTATTATTTATTTATTTATTTATTTTATTTATTAATCTACTTCATTTTTTCTCTGACTTTTCGAATACATGTACGATGTACTAAGAATTTTTCCAGTCTTAGTGTGGAACATGGCATTAATAAATAGCTTTTCTTTCATTCCTGGATTTCCTTAATTTTGTTCGCCCCCACCCCCCATTCTCCATTCCCCGCGCACGCACGCACGCACGCACGCACGCAAGCAAGCACCCCATTCCTGTTCACGCCAACACATGATTAAAATATTCAAATGTCAAGATTTTAAGTGGCCAATTAATTGACCGACTTTCTGAACGCCCTCTGTTAAAAATCGCCATAGCAATTTGAATATTACTACACAATATCAAAGGAAATTCCGATTAATGGCTTTCAAATGATTTCATTGCCAGTTGCTTTTTAACTAACAGAAGCCTTTGGAATTTATAGCGTTGATAAGCATCAATGATTGATCTTCGAATTCTATTTTACTCGAAAGAATTTGATAATCTTTATCTGGAATATAGCAGGTGGTCATTTGGAGAGTTAGATGAACATAAAAGGGGCATGACCAGACAGGGAGGGAGGAAGGGAGGGAAAGGAGAATAAGTGCTACAAGTACATAGAGGAGATTTTGTAAACTGCGCCCACCCAACCTTATAAACAATCTAGGGGCTCATTCCCAATGACTTGACAGACTAACACGCCTCCTCCTGGCGTTGAGTAGAATACAGAAAAGCTGGTGATAATACGAGTATGTTGGAAAGAAGAGGAGGCATATTAGACTGGGTTTCCATACTTAGATCGATCCATCTGGATCGACCTAACTCCTTGGGGGGTTCTCGCTAAATTGCTATCAGCTCAAGAGGCTCAAATGTCTGTCACGCCTACCGAATCAGCCAGGGTAAAGATAATTACCCCCTAACAGCTTTACTAGGCGCGACAGACATTTAAGCTGGTTAAGTTGATCGCAATTAAGTGAGACTTCCCAGGGAGATAGATCGATCTAAATATCAGTGGGGATGGTCCCTTAAACTGATGCATTCAGCGAAAATCCTTGCGACATTTTCACTGGGAATGTGCCTAAAGAAACAAAAACAGGCAGAACCAAATAATAATCCACCTTTGTACCTCTCAGCTCGGCAATTTTTTTTAATATCCTTGTTCACCCAGCCCAGGCCCCCATGGCAAAATTCTGGATCAGTCAGTTCTTGTTAATGTCCTTTCTGCCCTACAGATCATGAGCTCATTGCTTATAAGAACACTGAAAAAATATCAATATCGTTGAGTGATGTACAATGAATGCACACTCGACCAAAGAACAGTTGTTTATCCCTACATAATTACACGTATTCACTGGGCATACTGGGTATTTTCATATGCGGAAAAATTACCTGTGATTAAGATAATAACGCCACCTGATGCGAAGGGTGGGGGGGGGGGGGCTTTTGCAAAATTATTCTTTAATTTTACAGTATGTGATCGGCTCAGATACTACCTGGTGTTTAAATTGGCGTGCCCTGACCTACAAGCCCCGGTAATAGATAGATAGATGACAATAGCAAACCACGTGGCTTTGCGGGGATCAGGGAGAAATTCCCTATATAAATGGTACAATACATGTACAGCCAACTATGACAGAAAAGCGTGTTGACACAACGTCGACATCGATTATCGCAGTGAAAGTTTTAATTCATCCAGTTATTTTATACTGAGGTAATGAGAATATTAAATCTAATATTGGATCTTACGTTAAAACGGGGATCACGACGTTTCGCTCTAAAGGTGAACTTATTTTAAATTATATTGCACTTCGATATTAGCCAAAGGACCGGGGAGTCTTTTCTCATCTGTACGAAAGCCTTGAAATACTGAAATAAGTATGTATAATTAGAATTGTCACCGGTGTCGTACGATAACGTTCTGCGCGTCCATGAGCAGGTTGATCAACCCACCGTCAACACGCACGGTGGCCTGCGATAACAACTAGCACATCTGTGGCACCGGGCCCTGGGAAACAGCCCACGCAGAATGTCACCACGCGACACCAGTGACAATTCAAAATCAGTCTTGACGAAGACTGTGCGATTAGGTCAAAGCGCCGTGATCTCCGTTTCAACTTAAGATCCAGTATTAGATTTAATTTTCTCACTATCTCAGTATAATATAAGTGGATGAATCAGGACGTTCACTTGTATAATCGCTATTGACGTTGTGCCAACACGTTTGCTTGGTCAATTTTTTAATCTGTCAAAACGTTTATTTTAAGTTTTAACGTGAACTTCACATGTAGAGAACGAGCACATACGGAGCTGTAGCGGTGAAACCCCACATTTTTGGGTTTATAAGCATACAGTATACACGATGCTACTGCAGTGGAAATAGGACATCGAGACAGAACCGGCCACAGAATGTGTGTATACAACCTGCTTGTCCTGTCATCTGACAATAAGTGATGTCATAACTGTCACAATGACTTTGTGTATATAGGATTACCCGCCAGTGGAAAAGAGCAACACAGGACATGTGTCTGAACTGTGGACACCTTTGGGATATTTGACGACAGGATAGTGATAGCTGTTTTTCCAGTGAACTCTCTGTTGATGTTTATATATTAATATATACATACAGGCATACAGAAATGCGCATTAAATGAACAGCATTATTTTTATCGAACGACAAGCTGTACCGACAGCTCATATACTATCACCAAGTCGACATGATGCATTGATCTTGGCCTGAGGTCGACGTGAAGTAGTTTCCAGAGCTTCCAGACAAGGTCAAACTCAGGTTTGAGAATCTTATGTGGACTGCAACGATGTTATTCAGTAGTACCTTGAGGGTACTGAACAGTCGCTTCAAGGCGAGGACTGCCACCGTGCTGCTGTGTGTGTCGTTATTTTTCACTTTCTCGACTTTGTTCAGGTTACCGTCTCAGCCAGCGTTGACAGAGAGCCCGCATCGGACATCTCAGGGCACAGTGAAGGCCACAGGACTCCCGCCATGCCGGTATCCAGACCCAGGACTAGGTGAGTGAAAGACAGAGGGAGTGTAAGAGACCATTCCCAGACCCTATCGTACTAACTTTGCGTCGAACTATCTCCAAGAGGATTCTCGCATAATTGTAATTAACTTTGGCGGCTTAGATGTCTATCACGCCTACTGAAGCTACTGAAGTTAATAGGGGGTAATTAGCTATCGTTTAGCAGCTTTAGTAGGCTTCCCAGACATCTAAGCCACTTAAGCTGAAAGCAATTTAGCGAGAAACCCCGTGGAGATGGGCCAATCCTGTTAGTTCGATCTAGGGATGGGAAAACAGTCTAGTCCCTTATAAGCGAGCTGGCGAGACGCTTGCTGTCTTTTTTGGGCCCGGTGTGACAGAAATGGTAGTCCGAGGAATAGAAGTCCAGGGTCCCATATTGTTAGTACATGTTGGGATTAGTATACGGGACGAATGACACCTGTAAAAAGTGATGGGGAATGGATTACGGTTCCTAGAGGACTTCAGGCTACACAAAGAAAAAATAATTGTGTAGGACGCTTTCTATGCTAACACAAGAATAATTTTACACATACAAAAAAGTAAAATCACTTGAAAATGAAGACAAAAATAAATATTATACTCGAGGACACAAAGGTTTTTAAGTCAAGTAATGCTTTTAGCTATAGTTTTTTGTCTCCCCACAACTAAAATACACAAATATCAGTAGTGTGGTGTGAGATGATTAAACCCTCATTTAGAAAATTGGGAAAAAAGTAATGTTTCTTGTTGTTACGTTCTTTGTGGACAACAAGACATTTAGATTTGTCTTCTTTTAGTTAGTACCAGATTGTGACTTGAATTCATTTTTGAAAGTAAAACCAACGTCTGCCCCCAGGGGGAGGGGGGGGGGCGGTCCGCCCACCCCACCCCACCCCATCCCTTCCCGGGTCTCCCTAGCATGCTGTTTTGCTTTATCCCTTTTCAGTCGGTTGATATTTTGACGTAGCCGGAAGATGTTAAGACTTCGTCAAACAAATAAATAAAATAAATAAAAACAAATAAAAACATGTTAGAACTGGTGTTTTGAGTGCTACGTAGTTTACGTATCATTTATTCATTTATTTATATATTTATTTGATATTTTTTGTGTTTGACAACTATTCCAGTGCAACTTGTCTGTCTTTTGTCATTATTAACCTTGCTTTACACCCTTCCAAGCAACGCCGCGTCATGACAGCCGAAGGACGTGCACTAAATTCAGACCCTCTATTCATTATCACAAAACTTGTACGACTAGATGCCACATCGATTTAATATTTGTTCAAATTAACAATTCCAGTTTGTGCGTGAAAGAGGAGACGAGACGGATACTATACAAATGATAATTTTTCAATTGATACTGAATATATATATACATCATTCAGTGCAGAAAATACAAGCTATACGTTCATACGCACTTGAGTTCACATTATTCTATGAAATTTATTGCTCTTATATGCACAAAAGAGCACACGGCCTTGAGAAGATTCATGTCTCTTTTGGGAACGCAGTGACATACACCGAGGTGTTAAAGGGACCATTCCCAGACCCTATCGTACTCACTTTGGATCGATCTATCTTCAAGGGGATTCTCGCTAAATTGCAATCAACTTAAGCGGCTTGATGTCCAGCACGCCTACTGAAGCTGTTAGGGGGCAATTAACTATCGTTTAGCAGCTTCAGTAGGCGTGTCAGCCATCTAAGCCGCTTAAGCTGAAAGCAATTTAGCGAAAAAGCCCTTGGAGATGGATCGATCCTGCTAGATCGATCTAGGGATGGGAACCCAGTCAAAGATAGATGGAGAATAGCCCAGCAAATAATTCCGTCAGCTGTGTAACATGTACATGTCTACAGACCTATGTTTCTTCATTTGTCATTATATTTTTATCATTAAATGGAATATTATACTGGCGATAACTCCGGATTTAGCTGGTGTTTGTAAAAGCAATTGCTGTTAAATAGACAGAAAATCGTTTTTCTTTATTCAAAGATATTCCTTTCTAATGATAAACAAAACATCTCGCCACGGTCATTGGGCTTACCCATTACCTGGCCCACAGATTGATTTTTTTCATTAGATGTCCACAGACATGAAATTGACTCCGGCTTATTTATGGCAATATTTTGCTACCGTGTCCAACGAGAATTTTGTCATAGAACCAATTTCACTACTCAGTTGGCCTCTAATATAGAGTGCACATAAGTACATAGATATAATCATAAATTGGTTGTGGCCATGAATAGAGTGCGCAGTGCACTCTTTTCTGAAGTTGAAACGTCCGTGGTTGTCCTATGACAGTGGTTTTCCATGTCACTTTTTAACAATGGGGAGTTGCATTTTTGTATGCATCTGCCTCTGTAACTATAGAAGCACTATTCATCATCTGTCCTCTTGTTCAAAACTTGACCGCGTTCTAAACTAAAAGACATGCTAGCGCGTCACCATCGATAAAACTATTTCAATACTAACTGGTACAGATGTACCCTATGGTGAAATCACTTTTGGATTACTGAAGGAGACAGATTCTCTGAAGAAAAGCTCAGGGTACGACATGGCACAGTGTTTTAAATTTAAAAAGCCTTAAAGTGTCCGTTAACCTACGCTTTCTCTGTCGACTTAATTCACGTGACGATTCGATATGATTCAATAAATCCGTGCTCGAGAATTTAAAATAGGTAAGACGACAGGCGTTATTAACAAAGAGAAAGGGTCTATTATATTCGACAATGAAATTAAATAGATAAGCCTGCTAAAGACATTTACTCATACACTTTAATAAAACGTACAGTTATCCTAAAGAGGGATAAAAAGTGACACTGCCTTTTTTTAAATCAACCCATCATTGAGTGTTGGCGATATCGTCGTTATCGTCCACATAACCAGTGGTGGGCTCAAGATTCCCTTACGGGGGCACAAGGACGAAAACCAGTATAAACAAAGGCAATATTATTATGATACATCGGCCATAGGGATAGAAATAATACTTGATTTTAGTTGTTGTGTACGTTATACTGTTTCTTTGGGAAGAAAGAGACAGGGGGATCCCACCGAATCTAGGGGGAAAGGTATGTATCCTCTGTGCCCTCCTAGATTTCCCCAGACCCGTCATAGCCCGATGTGTGAACATGAACATAGTGTCTTCTTCACCGTGAGTCACCTAGAAATAGAAATTTGGCACCGTCAGGATGAGATAGGGAGGCCCATAAGTAAATTTGGTTATGGGCAGTGATATGCATGGAGGGTTTTTTCTCGGTGTAATTCATGGACAAAAAACGAACGCTTGGCAATGACACAGTGGTGGGTGTACGGGAGGGCACTACGAGCAAATGACATCTAGTTTTTGAGATATACCCCCCCCCNCCGTCTCCCCATTCTCCCTCCCAAAAAAACAGCAAAAGAAGCGAAGCGAGACTAAACGAGGTTAATCAAATTCTCATTCCTTGGTTCTTCATATTGTAATACAGTTGCCCTGTGTTATATTTTTCAAATTTCTAAACATTGTGCCCCCCCCCTTCCACCCCCGGTTTGCAAGATCCTGAATCCGTCAGTGTTTTTGGCAGTGTCGTCTGCTTGACGAGTGACGTCATGTGTGGTACGTACATAGATGTCTGGGAGATAACTCTTTTAACCACCGTGTAGGGAAAATAATATGTTGTAATACGTTGGTTATACGACCCATTAAACAAACGACCCACCTTGATGATAAGAATGATATAAAATACCGAACATGATGTAGCTGCCTGTAATGTGTGTGTGGGATGCTTCTAATCATGTCTGATGCATACTTTGAAAATCCCGAACAAAAAACTAAATGGCTTCATTTCAAGTATATCCCCCAATAAAGTGGATTTGTCAGCTCTCTCTCTCTCTCTCTCTCTCTCTCTCTCTCTCTCTCTCACACACAAGTATTTTAGTAGCGGCCAAACCTAACTCGACTGCTGAATTATTTGAGAGAGAAAATGAATATCCACTTTAATTCAACAGGACTGCTACATCTACAGTTTTATTTTGATAAGATTTTATTGAATTCAAAGTCTGCATTAAAAGCGTCACACTTCCTGTATATTTTGTATACATATCCCTGGTAAAGCACAGGAAAATCGTTTCCATACCTAGATTTTCTAGATCTGTTACGAACCGGGCATAAAACTTCACTGATCTTTTTTTCTAAAAAAATTGTCACCTAGGATGGCGTCACTAATGGGGACGAGCTCGCGTGCGTTCAAACATTATCGTTAACAGAAAATGATATATAGGCCTATTTTAGTACTTTCATCTAAGTGCCGACAGCGGCGACTTGGGACATCAACACTGAGTCTTCGTCTGAGTATTTTACCCATCTGCCCATTTCATTTCCGCTGTGTTACAACCATTCTGTGATTATATTAATGCATGTGTATTTTTATGAAAAAATAAATAAGAATTAAATGTATGACCAGCTTGTGATTCGCAATCATTTTCGTGTTTAAGAGACATTATGCACTATGATAAAAAATGGGCCCCCTATAATGTCGATAAACAAAACCATGTTCCAAATTGCAAGAAAAGAGAAAGAAGCTAAGTAAAATGCTTAAATTCCCAGTTTTAAATGCATTTTTTTTACTTTTGCGGCGCCTTTACTCTTAGAGATTACGGAAAGTTTGCTGCAACTTGTCTCCGTTTTTTTTCCAGTCCGGCAGGGTTATACTGCTTATAAGGCCATGTTTGCAACAGTCTTTGATACAGAGGGGACTGTGGTATTCAGTGCGGTTGAATTACAGTTAATATTCATCACACATCAATATAAAAATTAAAAATCTACCCAAGACTTCTAAAAAAAATATCAAATCTTCTCTAGACTTCTTAAACCTCAATCGTGCGTGTAAATATGCCATACACCACTGCTTTTGCCACAGGGCCGCGTGTTCAGAACGCGTGGCAGCTGGTGCAAGGTTACAGAATGCACGGCCCGTATTGTTTCAACCAGTTTCCGCATACAAATACTCGTTTTAGATTCACAGTGTGGTTTGTAGCTAATGCATATTCTTGACTTAATATATTTTATTAAGACAGTGGCGTGTGGCATATTTACACGCATGATTGAAGTTTAGAAAGTCTACAGTAGATTTAAAAAAAATAAGTATAGAGTAGATCTTTTTTTTTATTTCGGTGCCATGAATATTAAAACCATAATTCAATCCCACTGAATTTCCCGGCGAGTCACCAGCCAGTACCCTGTATATCAAAGACTACTGGAAACGTATCCCTATTATCAGCATATCTCTGGAAAAAAAAAAAAAAAAAAAAAACACAGGCAAGTAAAGACATCAAGACATGATATGACCAAGGAGTTCCAACAGACTCCTTGATATGACCGATCAGATTTGCTTAGGGAACTATAACCCTAAGCCTGCAGCAAAGGCTACTGCCTCTTTTGATAATCCTAACCCTCACACATCACCCTGCGTTTCAGAGGTCACTGGAAATTCTTGTCTATGGCCCCATTCAGAATAGAAGACTAACTAGTCCGAGGGTCAAATATGGCCGAGTCACTTGAATACTTCCCCACGGGATATATTCGGGGTCTATTGGCGGATTGGACGACAAGCTCTGCAGTGGGTAGCCATATTTGACCCTCGGACTAGTTAGTCCCTTTTTCTGAATGGGGCCTTTGATAGAGGTGACCTTTCAAACGCAGAATGTCATTTCAAGTGTGGTGTTCTGATGGCATCCATCAGAAACGCTAGGAGTGGTTAGATTTCAAATGAAAAAGAGTGGAACCAAGGGACATTTTTAGGCTCCGCCAATGGTTAGGTGTTTGAAAAGGCAGGAGGCTATTGCTTTAACTACGTTAACGACGCTTCTTTACCAGCGTCGCAGTTATAACAATACATACAAGTACATGTATTGCAACCCGATCCGCATTGTTATTTCCGACAAGGTTGTCATTTGTATACCAAATCTTACGACTCTGAATTTGATATTCGATTTTGTCTGTAATAACATCTTATATCAATGTAATTCTCTTATCAGCAGAGAGGTCTTTTTGAGACTTATGTCGTGAATAATTGAATTTAACCTATGATGCGGTCCCAATTTACCCAGTGCTTTTGCCAGTAATCTGTCTTCGGACATCTTATTATTGCGTTTGTTTTACCCCTTTCCCCTTCCATCTGCGAACAGTCAGATTACAAAAACAAATGTATTTTCGTCTAAAAAGCAGCTTTATTAAACAAGAGTATCATTGCACTAGAGAGTGATCAAGAACAAAAAGAGTATTGAAATTACACCACGAAAGAAGCATGTGATACACACGGTATCCGCCCTAATAAAGATGTTTTTCTGGTCTCTTTCGTGATGCTGGCTCGTGCTACGTTGTGTGAAAGAACTTTCGTATTTACCTCATGTATCAGATGTTGCTTTGAACATGCAACAATATTATATTTGTTCCTGGTGCATCACTCTACAACCGGCTAAGCTGTATTAGAGACCATTCCCGCAGATATTTTAATTTAAAAATCGATCTATCCCCCTGGGGAGTCTCACTACATTGCTGTCAGCTTAATCGGCTTAAATGTCTGTCCCGCCTACTACATACTGTAAGGGGGTACTAAACTTTAGTGCGCGCTCGACTCTCGGAAGCTGAGAGCAATTTAGCGTGGACCCCCAGGGAGTTAGGTCGTTCCAGATGGATCGATCTAAATCTGTGGGAACCTAGTCTTAATTTCCGCATGTTATCACTTTACACAAGGTTGAAGGCCCATAGCCAGCAATTGCAAAATGGGTGTACTTTTTCTGAAATTCTGGACCTTTTTTCATGAAACCTTAGTTTACTTAGATCAAATTTACCCAGAGTAGACCTTTTCCCAGCAAAAAGGGAGGATCTTTCAGGCTGCGGGCCTGGGTTGCATTGGATAATGGGCGCAGGAGTTTTTCACTGGGTGAAGAAAATCAAATAAATTTAGCTTTTCACATGATTGGGTGCAATTACTTTAGATAAAGCCCATAAAGAATGCTTTTTTAATGAGCATTAAAACGCCTCTAAGGCAATACATTGAATATAGCACGCACTTCGTAGATAATTGACTATGACGGCTTTGCTGGCTTATGTGTAAAAAGGGGATGAAGCCCCAGAAAATGATTTGTGTCAAAGGAAACTTGTTTTGAGCTGATTAGCTTCATATGCCATGTTTAAACAGAAGTTGTTGCGAAAAATTCATCCATGCACGATAATAATGCATAAAGCAACATGTTGAATTACAATCGCCGAATGTCAAAGTTTAGGTGGATAGCTCTACTGCATCCGGTTAAGCTACAATACAGAGGTTTAAGTATTTTTTGAAATACAAATGAAATACGTTCTGAACAGATTTTACAAGTGACTGCCAGTTCTAGTGGTCAGGAAGTAATGATTTCAGAAACACGCCTCTTTTCTGTAAGCTGGTATCATATCAATCTGAAGGTATACTTGAACCGATATGGCAGAAAAATGCAGGAAAAGCTGAAGCTTAAGAGTGCTGTGTGACTGATAAATTACTGTTGAAAATATATTATGGATATACGCAATGTATGAAATTCACTTGTATAAATGTGAAGTTGTGTCGCCTTATATTCTGCGGGTGCTAAAAACATGCATGTTGTGCAAAGACAGCGGATCAGTGAGTCCGCACGCAGACTGTGCGGCAACTGCACATTGACTGATGGGACTTCGTATGATCACTTTTGAACTGTAAAAACCGATTTTTCCGGATCTGACCTCAGCGTCATGTCAGGGTAATATCAAAATATCTCGACAACCGTAAAGAATGAAAAAATACACTCCGTACCCCCACCCCAGCACTTACGATGTCAAAAGTAAAAAAGAAAAATGCACTGAAAAGTGTATACGATTTCATCTTTCGGCGACCCTGGCAAACTGTAACCAGTTTTACAGCGTGTATTTATTATACCGATACTTAAGAAATGTGTTCAGTTATCTACAACCACTGCGAAGCCAATATTTCACAGTGTAATTTATAGTTTTATTAAAATAATACAATATACCGTATAATGCAATTGCAGTATATTGTGTTTGAGGTTTACAAAATTTAGCGAAAAATAATGTCTCTCCAAAATGAAAAAATAAAATAGAAGGCGTTATTCATTATCGAATGGGTTACATGGATTATCAGTTTGATACTTGCTCATGACACTTTTTATAACCATTATGATATTTTCATGAATCAGTCAGGAGACGGTATTCTCAATGTATGGAAAGGGTGAACAACAAATGTCTAGAACTAAGACAAATAAATCTGATTATCTAAAGGGTTCTTTGTTGATATTGTGCATAGAACCAGTTTTATTGAGACAATGCTATCACCGTACGACCCGCGCGGGTCACTCTGCACAAGCGATGGATGAGTCACTCGGCCGCAAGTGAAGTGCTGCTTGTATGACGCAATCTATTACGGGGGAGGGGGAAGGTTATTCGCAGTGCTGCTATCGATTGTAAGGGGGTTGAACTTTTAAGACGGAAGTACGTTGATTTCACTGATAACCTTGACATTTTGTACCTTAATAATATGTGAAGAGAAAATCTACATATCTTGGTTTACTTTATCCCAAATGTGACCATGAACTTTGCTGAGCTACCTTTTTGCCCCTATTCAGCCGATTTTAATGTGTATCAAAAGGTTCACCAAATCGAGGCAAAAGGAATAAAAGGGTGAAGTCTTGAAAATTGTCAATTCCATTTGTATATTTTTCTCGAAGGAATTTTTTTCAAAACAGTGGAGGTGACATATCCCAAATAAGCATGTGGGTTAAAGTAGATTTCTTTTTTTTTTTCAATTATGAAAAGCTTTTTTTCTGTTTTGTTTTTAGTCGGTAAACTCCGTCCACAGCTCACGTCATTACCCCTCTCGTTGAGAGACCTCTCTGAAAAGTTCCCAGATATACGTGGCGGCCACTGGAAACCAAGTGATTGCGTCCCACAGTTCCGAGTGCTGCTCATCATACCTTTTAGGGATCGGTGGCTCCATCTATCGCAATTTCTGGATCATTACATACCTATTTTACAACGGCAAAAGATCGATTTCAGGATAGTTGTGTCGGAACAGGTGACTTTATTATGTACTTAGCCAAACGTCAAAGCCACTATTTCGGTATTCTGTGTCATCTTTAATATAGCTACATTTTTATGCAAATGCGGTATGTAAACTATTACAATCAGTGAAATGATATGCAATTTGTTATTATCAAAATATCATAAGAAGCGTTTGAAACAATTCCAAAATAAACTTCTTAGCTTTTTTTATATATATGAAGAAGTGAACAAAACTGTATCACATTTTTGTAATTTTATTGCATTTCAATCATTACAGAATGGAACAGATAGTTTCAACAAGGGTCGCGTAATGAACGCTGCCTACCTGGAATCGAATAAAGAATTCGGCTTTGACTGCGTCATTTTCCACGACATAGATGCCCTACTGGAAGATGACAGAAACCTATATGTGTGTCCCAGTACTCCCCGGCACCTAGCACCTGCCGTCAGCAGGCATAACTATACGTACGATTATTCTCATAACTTAAAACCCTTTAACGGAACCTAAGGCGAAATGATTAATAGGCCCTATACTGTATTGATTAATTAATTTAATTTGATTTTGTCATTTCGTCATATCATTTGATTTCCCGGATTCAATTTCAAAAGATCCATTAATGCTAATAGACGACACTAATGAATATAATAATTCGGCTTTCACAGTGGCATTTTGTGTTATACATTTAATTTGGTTTTGATTCCATACGCTGTTTCTAACAATAACAGAAGTGAGGGAAGACTTTTTTTTTTCAATCACAATGGGAACTTTACATCGGTTTTATAAATCTTTATTTTACCATTTTAGGCTAAAATATCCCTCTCTAGTAGGCACAGCGTTGGCATTTCCCAATAAACATTTTGAAAAGGTGAACGGTTTTAGCAACAGCTTCTGGGGTTGGGGCGGCGAGGACGACGAGATGGCAAAACGGTACGTCTTTTTTTATATAATACCGGAAGCCTCACATATGCACAGCAGAAAGAGGCAACGCTAGTGGCTTCAGTATGGCGCCACTTTTATGATAGGATTACCCAAGGGTCTATAATATACAAGTCCTTAATATGCACCAGTGTGCATGGACCATAGAATTGGCCTGTACATATACATGTACATGTGCCACCCTTTCAGTCAATTCAGAGGCAACCTCTCCATGTTAATACAAAGAGGTAGTTGTTGAAATGGCCTGGTGTATGGTTTCATTTATGAATATATTTTGTTGTTAAATTAAGATATGAGCCCATTTGGGTCAAAATGACACCAGGCGCACTACATGCTTGTACCAGGAACATTTATATTTAATTGCTAAGAAAGATATGTTATAGGAATGAAGAAATTTATAGCTCATTAGAATATCACATTTTTATATTTTAATATTAATCTGAGAATCCTGTTTTTACTTAACTTTTTAAATTTTTTTTCCAGAATTTTAGCGTCTGGGCTTATCATTGAGAGGCCACCCACAGATATTGGCCGATATACGTTGATAGAACACACGAAAAACAAAAGAGTATTACAAATGGAAATTCAGTAAGTGTTGCTATACACTATATGGTAGTCAGAAAAGATAACCAGTAGTTAAAAACTGGCTTGATCATTACCGTACATAAGAAGGACAATACATGTATATTATTCTTAATTATTAATTGGTCGTAATAATAGTTCTATATTGTAAAATTGCAGCCAGTGTGTAAGAAAATTAATGGTGATCCGTAGGTGACACACTTTCGTATGTAGTAAAATGATGAGGTATATACAAAAGTAATACATCCCAGGCAACATTTGATGCAGACAACACAGGTAAATGATAAGATAAATACAAACCACTGAACATGCATATTTCTGATATTTATTGTAGATTCACGTGGTCCTTTTTCTATTTCTTCGCAGGCAACATCTGATACAGGCGACGCAGTTCCGCATGTTCTTTGACGGAATCAGTACTGTGAAATATAAGGTGCTTGCGAAAAATGTCACTCCACTTTTCGTGCACTACATATTCGACATAGGCAGTTTAGATCCCTTTGAACTACGGCGTCTGTACCAAAGTGCTGAACGGAATAGACGATTTCTACAGCGCCGATATATATGGCGTTAATCTCGGGGAATTTTAGTAATTTATGGTGCTTTTTTAAGTACAGTTTTCCGTATTTATTTGACAAGTAGGCTAATTATGAATTGTACATTTTTCTGTGAATATCAGGGACAGAAACAGAAACACAGAATTGCACACAGGGTTAACAGATGTTAATCAGGACATGAACTTCTTTATGATTGGTGTTTTCGGCGTCCTAACGAGGTGGCATTAAACTTCCGTGTGACATTGTTTTGATCATAAGTTTTAACTCAAAAGTTGTTTCATTGTTGAATAGTTTGCTGTCATTTGACGTCCGGTAATTCAAGTCAAAGTGACGCTTAAGGCATATAGCATTACACGAGAGAATCTCTTGGTGCTATTTTCATTGTGCATTGATTTATTCTTGATATTTTACTAGCCATCTCTACAGAAGGTATTTGAATAACATTGGTGCTACATGTATATTATTTCCTCCATTTACAATGCCACGTAAGTATTCTAAATATTAATTTCATCGGCTGTGGTAAACGCTAAGTTTCAGCAGTTGGTGTTTTACATGTACAAACGGTAGGCGATGGGAGAGAAATATGGTTACTTAAGCTCCCTGTACTTACAGTATTTGATAGTAAGCCAGGATGCATGGGGGCTAAGGAAAAATTGCCCTCGTCGCCGGTTTTTTTTTTTTTTTCCTTTTTTTGTGAATGGTAACCCCCACCCATTTGAATTTTCCTTAATACGTTTACGCGCTTTTTGTAATGCATAAAGGCACGTAAAGTAATTTTTATAACAACCGTCACTCAATCTTGCGTTTAATATCAACCTGAATCGAATAAATGTCATACATCAGTACTAGAGTTAATTTATAGAACTATATTTAAATGGTAGGAATATCAAGGAAAACGGAATTGTATGATATACATATATATTAAATGAAACAAAAGACAAAGTGTAAAAAATGCAATTAGAACTTTAGCCAGCCTTGTGTCTATCCAAGCGAAGAAATGTCAGAATCTGGAATGTCGTTGTATTTTTCATCTCACTAAAGAATAATGTTTGCTCGAGTAATAAAATTGATCTCCGATTGCAGTAGAGAAGCAAGCACTGCGGAGATAGATGGTTCGGAAAGGCAGCCTGGGTCTGTTTTACCAAATAAATCAAACCTCGAAAACTGTTGTAATTTTAAAGACCAGAATATTGCTTAACTTAGGTCAAAGATAAATCTATGGCCTCGACTGAATTTTTAAATTAATATTAAAATATGATTATCTGCCTAGAGGGTCTTCCTTGTTATACCGTGCAACAGTCGCAATGTTTCATTTATTTGGACAAGCACTATAACTAGACTAAAGTCTTTTTTAAGTTTAGTAGAAGTTAAGTCATTTTTCCGATATTAGACTAATAAAAGGCTCGCCAAATGCTGGTAAAAATCGAGGTCAACAATAATATGATGATCGACGCACATTTCCGTGCATTAGACCCATACTTTTTTTTACTGTCAAAATAAGCGGGTCATAAAGAAAAAAATCACTTTCCCCCCCCCCCCTTTCCAGTGACGTCACAGTTCCGGTTCACAAACACGCAACCGAGCCCGTCAAATAAGATAGCATCGATCAGGCCGGGTTAATTGTCTGCTGATTACCAAACAAAGTTTCCAGGCGGACACTAAGTGTTTTTGCAGCAGACGGTAACTGTAGAGCAGATCAATAGTTTTGATTAAGGGCGGCAATTTCCAGTGTTTGTAATGGACTGTTGACTGTGTTCGTAATGAATCTGTCAGAACAAAGTGTAAATACTTGTTGATCTCATCAGGCGACGTAATTTTATAAGAAAATGAAAAGGGCTTGTCGACATTATTTGCGCATTAAAAGGAATCCTAATTGAAACTTATTCCAGACACGTAGGCAGATCCGGGGAGAGGGGGTGGAGTGTAGGATGAGGGGTGCTTCAGGGGAGTCTTCTGTCTGTTATTCGTTAGTTCCTTTTTGCGAGCAGACCTAAAGAGCAGAGGGAATGGGAATGTTTTATATCTTCCACCCCATCTACTTTTCTCTAAAGAAGCCTACATTCTTATGATTGCTTAACCCATCTTGGCTATGTTGGCTGTCTTGCAATTGATAGTCTCTTTACCGGTATTTCCATTCAATTGCATTTTACGTATTGCATCATTGTTTGTACAACCGCTTGAATCCTGAGTGTAGAACAAAATGTTGTGAGCACGATAATATGCAGGGACTGATTAGTCAGTATCGAAATTTTATTTATGAATTTATGAACAGTAAGTCTAGCAAATACAGAAGACTTTATATTTTCTTTGAGAGAGCTGCGTGTCCCAATCGAGAGCCAGATAACATTCTGCCCCCCCCCCCCCTCCTTCCACTGCCACCGCTCCCACGGACGGACTACCTCTTGCCACGACCAACACCAGGAAACTTGCAGAGAAAGCGCACCCCTTAAGGAGCCGGCAAATCACAGAGCATCACTTACTTAGAACAGAGGTTATGAAATAAAAGGAAGAAAACTGTACACCGCAAGAACTGATCGATAAGCGTGCTTAATCAGACTGCATTATGCAAATCCAACTGTGTTTATTTAACCAACATCTGTTGGTCGACTCCACTATTCATAGGGACTCTGAAACGACAGAGCATTGCTTGACGAGCCCATGTAATGAACATGTGCAGCAGTTTTTCAGAGCTCCATCGACTAAATCAATTGGTAGGTCAGCTATTTATGAATGAAATATGTAAACAGTCGTCATCGTAAATAACACTGATTACGGGAGATATTGCCAATCCCGCGACGGAACTGAGATATGAGGCTCTAGAGACAAAACGATATTGCCGTCAGCAACACTTAATCGGTATCGACTAATTAGTCGAGATTGGATTCGCAGAGTAATTTGATTGGTAGCGTGGCCATAAGCTTTGATAAAGCGCTCTGGGGACCGTACGATATTGATTTGACAATTATTTACCTGTTAAAGACAGGATCATTGCGACATTGGTGGCAGGGGATTGATACGTTAACAGAGACATTTAGAAAGCAAAACTCATTGAAGAGTCAAGCGTCAAGTCAGGTGAGTAAGTTTTTTTTTATCTTACACTGTGGAACAAAATCGAATTGATACTCGAATTTAATTATATAATCAATACCTCATTCCAGAGTGCCAACTAAAAAAACTAAAATTTGGATGATGGTGCTTTTAATTCGTTCTTCCCAGACCAATATTTTGAGGAACATACACGTGTTACTTTGCTCTATATCAAAATGCTGGGGGAACTTTTTGATGTTGTACAAGGAAGTGTGTACTAAAGTACCAAAGTGGTTCCGAAGTAATACCAAAGTAGAACCAAAGTGGTACCAAAGTGGTTCCGGTTCCCTGTTCAGACTTTCATTCAGTCCTACGGGTTTTTAATAGTATAAATATGTTATACTAAATTCAAATATACTGTTGTAATCATTAAAAAACGCAACAAAACCAGTTTTACTTTGCACAGTAAACAAACATTCGGTATTTCCATTTGGTACAATTCAAGCTGCCTTATTCAGGCAAAATTTTCTCTTTATACGATCAAAAATAACATAACTTTTTATTCAGTCTTGCTGAACTAATCCAAGTGTATGTGTGTTAGACCAATTGCATTCCAGAGCTCCCACTGTCTTCAAGGCAGTAACTGTTATTCCAAAAAAGCCCCTATTAATTAGATAATAGAAGCACATAAATCAAAAGCTCATCATTGTTTTAAATGGTTCCATTTAATTGGCAACATAAGAGTAATCCATATAGATTGTTGATATACAAGTGGGAAAACGACTTATTTGTTTGACAAAATAAAAACAGGTAACCTTTGTTACGAGACATCAGTTCCATGAATATCGTCAAAAACGATGAAAAAATTTAAATATGTGTGCATGCGTGTTTGTCTGAGTTTGGAAAGTCATTAATGTAACGCAAGTAGACTGATAATTGATTGCTTCATTGAATATCTCCATTGTCACCTTTCATGGATCACAATGACTTGATTATCACATGAGTGACGTCAGACACCTCGTGCGTCATCTTCCCAATTACACACTTGGTTGCGGAAAACATGGAATTGAAATTAGCCACGGAGCGGTCTCTTGCGCTGATCACAGAGCATACGCCTTACGTTATTCATCTCCCTATATTCTTTGTGCCTGCAGGGATCACATTACCCCCCGTCAGCTATGATTCCAGCAGGTGGAATTAACGCTGTTGTTAGTGCAGCACATGTCAACACTCGTGCTTTACCAAAAGTTTATCGATTGACATTGTGTCTAAATATGAATTAAAGACTGGTGTTTATTAATTTATTAAATTATATGTTTATTTATTCATTTTTAGCTGTGTTTTGTGTGTGTATGTGTGTTTGTTTGTTTGGTGTGTTTGTTTGTTTGTTTGTTTGAAAAATAAATTGGGCTTGAGCGTAAATTACTTAACAGCTGCAGTGGGATGAAAACTTATGATCTACACTCATTCACACGTATTATAATAGAAATGCTGGCATCGTGCATGAACTGATTACTGCCTAATTTCTAACATCAGTCACTGTAAAAGAAGACCCACGTACTAGTAGCTTTTACATATACGTATAATATATGCAGGCATGTATATACATATGTCAGATGTACACATTTTCAGCACATTCTTGTACATGTACGGAGGCATTTTCTTATGCAGGTATAGATCGAATTATTAGTGTTTTGTCAAAGAGCAAAAATGGAGTTGGAATCGGAAGCCGTACCCTAGATCTGCTGAAGTGATGCTTGCAAACCACACAGGGAATTAATGTGACACATGTCACTACCGCTTGTCCTACAGCATTGGAAACAAAATCTGTTACTAATGAAAATTATTTGCTCCTAAAGCCACGGGAAGCCTACCCTGGACGTTTTGTGTTCATAATAATTTCCTAACCGAGCTGATGAACAGAAATAGATTTCTATGAATGAACCACTCCACAACAATTATTAACATTGGGTACTTAACGATAACGATGACCGGAAGTGGACCTTAATGAGAAAGCAGAGGAACAAGGGCGGAGAACAGGTCGATAATTGATTGGATTCCAGGCACTTGCCCTCTACCGGAATTCTGTCAGATGGTTCCTTTACATCTATCCCTTTTAGGACAGTTCGTAGCACTTGGTGAATAATCAGTCAGGGCTGTTAATAAGAATAACACTGAAAGTGAACAACATGCAAAAGGCAAATATGCAACAATTTGAAGTATTTCATATTTGCCACGTGTTTCTGTGTAAAACTAAAATATGCTAGCCACATTACCAATTAATAGTGCCATAAAAGGAAAAAAAGGCATTTGACACATGCTCCCTTTTGGGTGATAAGACGTTGACATTACAAGAAAGAAAAAATCTAAATATTTATATATATTTATACATTGTATATCCAAAAAAGACTTTGAAGTGCCACTTATATACCTCCCCTTGTCAATGAATATCATATCTTGACATTTTGTAACTCAAAACGTTTATCCAACGTTTGAAATTCAATTTAGAACTATAGTAGTACCTCATGGCATTATTTCTTAAAAAGGACATAAAGATCTGATCCAATAGACTATGTCGAATTTGTGAGGCATTCTACATATCGCATGCCGTATTTTTTTACAAAACCCTCACAGAAGGAACATTTCCGTCTGTTGCATTTATTCACTATTCTCAAAGTTGTCCATCGAAATTCAATAAAAAACCACATGATATTATTACATCTACATGACATTGCTTCTAGCACAAATGATTTGCTGCTATATAGTATGCAGCATCTGTATGGCATTCTAAATATTGCATGCTTAACAAAACCTCGCAGAAGGAACTTTGCTCCGTGTGGAATATATCTACATGTATACTTGTTATATGCAACCAATTCAGGAAATATATAAAAAAATAGCAAATAATGAAAAAGGCGTAATAGATAGTGCTCCTTTAAAACCCCATGGCTGCCATATCCACTATGGGAATGCCAATGGTTTGTTTTTCAGAAAACGACTACGCGAATGCCTGTTATAATGACATGTTCAAATTCTTTCTTAGCCCATAGGCCACGTTCCGTTCAGTTGTGGAAAAATGGAGAAGCTTTTCACTTTATAGTTGTAAAAAATAATACGTACAGATTGTGTTATAATCCTGAGACAGGCCATACACACACTTAGCTGCAGGGTGGATCGCAGAAGACACCACAGGGGCGATTGCAATCAAAAGCTTCTCTCATAAAGATAGATAGCAAAACTCAGGCAGCAATTTTAGATCGACATTTCTCAAATATCATGATCGTTTAATAAGGCGGTGTGACAGGAATGGCAGTCCGTCCCATATGCTAACCCCAATATTCCTACTAACCCTTACCTGAACTCATCATAAGGAACCCAGGACTTCCATTCCTAGGACTACTATAATGGTCACAAAAATTTCAAGTCATAGAAGGTAATCAAATCATAAGGGAGCTTACAAAAAAAAAAAAAAAAAAAAGCTAGTTTCCTGAAGTGAACGCTGAAACACGTTTTGCTGAAAACGAATGAACACGACCTACAGTGTACATGTGTGATGGAAAGAGTTAAATGGCGTCAGGATGTATAGCAACGTGATAACAACATCCTTTGAAATACAATTAATTAATTAATTAATTAATTAATTAATTAATTAATTAATACAATTACAAATAACAATCCACATATAAAATATCAGTAGCAAACAATTAAGACATTTTTAAGAAAAAGTTAATTCCAAATAGCATTTTAATAACTGTATCACATATTGCGGCTTGTTGAAATGTTTTTGTTACACAAACCAACACCAGAGCCACGAATATATAAAGAGGAATCAAATACTATTATATATCACACAATCACTTTCGCGTATAGGCGAATAATGTTACAAAGATTTTCTTAGAAATGTCGCACTGCAAAAACCACGAAATCTTATTCTCTTGCGAAAGCAAACACAAGTGCACGTAACAATGCACACGATAGGCAATTTGCGTGAAAAGGTGTTCTATTCACCTAATATGCCGGCATTATATAGTAAGGGTGTAATTATACTGAACACGAAGCAAAATCCCAGAGGACTCACAGAGGCATGGATCAAACTTTAGATCTTGGTTGAAATTTGGTTCAGATGTTGATCAACAGAGATTGAACCACGATTTGACGTTGACAAGTCAACATGGAAAATGAGATGTTGATTAAATGTTGAACTGTACATGTAGGATGGAGTGAAATACAAATTCAGAATGTTCTTGCTCGTTAAAATGTCAAGGCTGAGGTGAAGTTGGACACAACATTTGAGGCCACTATAGGTTTTACAAGATGGCCACCAATTTCAAAAGAGAAATATACAACATCGATAGAATTTTTTTAAAATATAATTTATCACTGTACGTTTCTTTAAAATATTGACTTGTCTCTCCTGTTAGTGACAATTTTGAACGCGGTTCATATTGTAGGCGTTGAGCTGGATTTCGATCTCTGAGAATGAATTAGTATCATTAGTATAACGATTTTTCCAGAATGGTCGCCTATGTCCATTGAGAAGTATTTATTACCATATATTTCACCTGTTATATAGGAACACACCACTATGTCAGCTGATAAGAGCACTAGAAGCATGTAAATATGGTTCATTTAACTCTATGGAGTAGTTGTGGTACCATTTGATAAATTCAAAATGGCCAACAACAGTCAGAGAAATGACGTTTTTCACAAACAATAATCTCTAAATATTGAACTGTATCATGCTCTATTTTAGGCTTTAACTAAAGGCACGTCTCCAATTTAAATCCATCTAATCGTTATATTTTGACGGTTGGCGACCATTTTGGATAATTCAAATTACGTTAAATGATTCCAACCAGTAAAGGGATTTCTTTTGAAAAATCTCAGTGGCTGAAATAATGGTCCTTTCAGACGGGTGTGTATATTTCCGTTGAAATTGGCTGTCATCTTGGATTTTAAAGTTGCCAAAGATTGCTAAAGTGGCAACCAAACTACATTTGTTTTAGCCCCCCCCCCTCCCCTTGGAGATCAAATAAATAAAATGGCTCTTTAGTAACAACATTTTCCAAGTTTCCAAAATTTCGCCAGGACTATTACACGTCCGACATTAGTCATTCCCACCAGCACGTTTGACTACCACAGCTGTCAACATAGCGTCTCATTATATAATTTGGGACAGTCAAAATTAATTTGCCATGTTGGAATAGGGGCATAATAAAATATGTATTGTGTTATTGTCATTCTGTGTTATTTTGGTGGCTCATTTGACAGAATTTCGTATCAACACTTTAGACAAAAATTACTTCACGTCCAACTGGGACGCTTCGAAAGTATACAGATGACGCATGCGCGCTTTTGGTTTCATAAGCACTTGGATGCGATAATGGAAAATTTAACTCATGAAATTGCTGAGTAAACATATAAAATGATGGACTGAGTTTTATGTGATTCAGGTTAACCGCTGAATTGATTAATTTCCGTACTATAGTATAGGCCACAGCCTTGAGATCGTGAAATAAGAGATAGACAGTAACCTGTAGTCTGCACAATATAAGCATGCAGGTATATAGGATGGGAAATCAAAAAGTTTTGAGCTTCAGAGAGTAAGAGCAAGATATTTACACGTAGCTGAATTTACACGTAGTCTGCTTTATTTTTCAACAAAGTCCCCTTCCAACACTACACACTTGTTCCATGTCGTTTGTCATTCATTGATACCCGACCGGTAGATCTCCACATATTGGTCTCCTAACAATTCCTCCACAGCAGCTGTCAGCTAATCATCATCCCAGTCTCCAGCCCTGAAGATGTTTTGAGTCTCGAAAATAGGTGGTAGTCAAAGTTACTAGGTCTGTAGGAGTGAAAGACCGCAAAGCCATACTTGTCCACAGCTTCTGCCGCAACTTGGCTGGTGTGACCTGGTTCTTCGTTCTGGCAAAGCAGAATCCCACGTTGGGGTTGTGTTCCACAAAACGTCTTAACTACTAGTATATCATTGCGCCCCGATATATGATTTTACATGCAATCAACAGCTATGGCATTTCAGTGTAAATCGGATGTGTTGCTTTGTACAATCTCACCAGGGAAAATGTCCAATACTATTATAAAGAAGTTTTGACGTCCTCTCCAACACATGCATATTAATGAACATGAAGACATTTTCCTCCAAACCCCGAAACCAAAAACGGCCCTCCAAATTCCAAAAAGCAACGTACGACATGAACAGATAATCACCCATGTGTTTCATATACTTTACTCATACTGTACTGTACAAGGTTGGGGCCAACACGTAATTTTTTTTTTTTTTTTTTTTTTTTTTGCTTTTGCTAACACCACACCCACCTTCCCCCCCATTGTTAATATTCTGGCTTAATTGTTACCGACATAGCAGCCGTTTAAAGATGGATTAAAAACTCTGATTAAATTTGAGTGCTTTTTAAAAATTGGTTCACAAACATGGGAGTAAAAGTTGTAATTACTTTGGAAATTGTACGGTTCCTCTTTAATTTTGTCGTTACGAACACTGCAGTGGACAGGATGTCAAAATTTAATTCTACACGGTTGCCACAGTTCAGAGATTTCCGTAAGACATGGAAACTGAGAACTAACCTTATTTAATTAACAACGGCCAGTTTATTTTGCAAATAAAGTAATAAAGAATGCCCTACAGTAATAAAAATTTGACCCGTGGCATCCCTGCCTGATACATAAGCGTACAACTCGAAGTAATTTCCGTTACTTGACCCCCGTATTCCTTTATCGATGCTTTCCGTGCCATTCATTAATCTTATTTATTGTTGTTTATCATATTTATTTATTGTATTTTATTTGATATACAAACCTCGTTTTATGAATTGTTCCAAATTTACTATTCCTTCCAGGGTGAATTTTAACAGAATTAAAATGTGTGCCTTTTATAAACTGTTAAATATACGCTTTAGCAAAGGAATGTAAATAAGAGATAATTAAGATTGAACAGATATACAAACTTCTCCACTGTAGAGCTGGAATAAGCTCACATTACATGCAACATTAATCAATTGATATTAATGTTTGTAAAACGCTTTGATATGGGTGATAGCTCTTTTATTGTCAACACTTTCAAGAGGCGATATTTCCACGTAATGAATTTTTCAGGTCACTTTGAAGAATTTACCATGTCAATAACATACGTTAAGCAAGTGATTTATTGCACTTTTAAGTTTAGTCTTCGGCTAGGTTATCCTCCGCTTGCCAATCAATTCACATTATATCGTATGTCTTTTTCCTACTATTAGATGTTAGTAATAAAGATGTACGGTGGTTTGTTCTACCATGTCTTTAGAACCAAATTGCACAACTTTTACAGTAACTTCATGTACTAGAACAAAAAATCTATTATAAGCATACAGTGCATGGGGCAGTGGGATGATCTTAAGTTTCAGAACGTATCTGAGCGTTATCGCAAATTCCTGATGGTAAATTTCAATGTCTAAATATCAATTGTACGAGACCAATTGAAATCCGTTTATCATGCTATAAATAAATCCTTGATAACTTTGAGGAGATCGTTGCTATCAAAACCATTCGATTCTAGGGTATAATGCATTAACTATAACACTCGTATCAGTAGAAGGAAGTAACCTGGATGATAAAAGCATGTCATATTTACTTGGGCTATTGCGTATAGTATGAACAAACGACAATTAAGTAACCTATCAATCTTATTAAAGATCAGAAGGAATGGTAAATTTGGAGCAATTAATTGAAAGTAGCGTTGCTAACGTGTACAGTGTATAGACGAGATCATGTGTTTCTTGGATGAACAGCATATGGTCTAGATAAGCAAAAGAAAGAAGGCATTAGAAAAAAGGGGTAATTAGCCCTACATTGGCCGTATATGATAGTCTGATGAAGATTATGTGTTCAGATGTTAGAGACGTGTGTTTGGATAAATGACATTCTCTCTCTCTCTCTCTATCTCTTAAATAAACGCATGATTGCCTTTCTGCACGACACCAAAGTGAAGATGAAACAGCAATCAGGGACAGGAAGCCAATCAGTGGCGTTTTTCATTTCAAAGGAGCATCTGGGATAACCGCCATAGGGTTTCGTTTCTGAAGCTTGCGTGAATGTTCATGTGAACAACATAGTCACGTTGAAGTTGCTGGTCGTGTTATGTACTTAATTTAAAAATGAGGGCGGAACTTATATCCGAGGCAGGTGTTGAGCTATTCAATGAAACACGTTTTTATCAGATATGCCAATATATGATATATTGACATCAAAGTACGTCCTAAAGTATGTGTCGTGGCCTTGTCGTTTATTACATCTAAGGCGATTAATATACGCGATATGTAGGGTTATTGAGATTGACCTCAACCTCAAAGTTAATTATGAAGCAAGCTTTGTAGTCCCTTAATTGTCAAAGAAAATGGAAATGCACGAAAAAGACGAGGTCAGTGACTTGTGTCTCAAATTTATGGATGCCTATCGCCTTTTGTATGATTATTTTCTTCACCTTAATGGCCACGTGTGCTTTGCTGTCACTTTTTAGTTTGAACTCCTCATCGGTGGCCATTACTGCTGTTTTAAAAACACGCAGATACATTGTTGGTGATTTTAAGAAGAGCAGAATACCTAAAATCTGAAAAACACGCGAAAGACATGTTACGTTAGCACCCTGTTAACGCTGTTACATGTAACCTGTTAACGCCCCCTACCACAGTATATATGGTTCTTGCCAAGTGCGCTGATTCAAATACGATGGTTGGAGTCGACTTTAAAACTGCTAGCTCAGCGTATCTTCGGGTGCCGGTTTAATAATATCTGAATCGTTGGAACCGTGACTTGTGGTCTATGCTACAGAAAACTGATATGCTTGACATTATTGCATTTTTTGTCTTATCGGGGTATATTGTTAAGAATGTAATGTGAAGAAACTGTAGGGAGTTTCGTGATTTAAGAGTATTTGACACTATTGGAGGCAACCAATAATGTATGGGAAGTACTTTGTATATATGATAGAGAAACTTTCAATACAGCCGGAGATATTGAATTCGCAATGACAACCTTAAATGGGAATTTATGTTATTGCAATGTTAACAAGACGGAGGCATTACGCTCGAATACGCAACAAATCATTTCATTTATTGGTGATACGTGTTCAGTTTTGTCTGGGAATACCTGAGGGACATAATTGTTTCTATTCCATTTGAATCGACTTCGCCTACGGGAGACCGCATTAATAGGTTTTTGGTTCTTGATGCAAGAAAGCATATTCGAATCATTTGTGAACAGCAGCTCACCATTCTCTTGTCAACTACTTTTAAAAGTGGTTAATGGCATTCTATTATTTGATTCATTTCAGATCTTATGCAAATGGATTGAAATGCACTGAACTGAATGTTTCTGTGAACGAAAGAAACAGACGAGTTGGGGAATCAACATCGAAAACTTGAAAGAAGACAAGAACGTGCGTTTTCCAGCACGTGTTTCGGAATATAATCAGCAATTTTCATTACTTTGCAGACGATTTACAAAAGCCTTTCATTACTTTAAAGACTGTCAACGCCATAAGAGATTAAACCAGTTTAGCATCATAATGAAACGTCGCGGGATATTTGCAAGGCGTGAGCAGTTCCAATTACTGGTGCGAAAGACGCAATAATATTACCAGAGTTTCAACTTCATCGCATGTTACTTCCGTGATTAAGACTTCATTCAATCTCGCGGCGTTCATGGAAAAGGTGCAGCCCGACAATTAATTAAGGTACTGAGAGGACAAATAGGCAAGCCTCCAAGTCTGTGTTCTATATATATATATATTAAAGTGTGGAAAATACATTAAGAAATTGCGCTAAATGATCGAATCGGAAGTCAGCGGGGGATGAATATAAGTTAAGCTTGTTATGGATACTAACACATAATATAAGCCTACGTATATGAAAAATTGCTCGGGGCACCGCCACATTCTAGACGAATAAGGACGAGACACTTCGGCATTGGACACTTAGATATATCGAAATGTGATAGGCTGTGACAAGGCTACATCACAGACAGTCACGAATCGATGCTCATGGAGACGTCTTCTACATTCTACGATAGACGCGGAAGGCTAATCACGCATCTTTAAATCTTGAACAGAAAACAGAAAACGCCTGAGGCACAAACAGGTATGTTCTTATTACGATAACTTCCGGTTGGTTTTCGTCATGCCATATACATGCCATATACATAAGAAAAAAATAACGATTTACTTATGGGATTATTTCCATGCATGACCAATTTCGTTGATTTTTTTTTCTAGTTGCGAGATTAAGAAACCGTACACTATTGTATTAGAACCAGAGGCGAAAGGATATATTTGAAGGAGTGAAGACGTGAGCAAACATCAGTCACTGGGAAGGTACCGAAATCCCTGCATGCGGACCAAGACTGCTCTACCAAGTCGATTGTAATGCTTTTAATACACGATAAATAATTACAGCAACTTTTAAGAACTAAGCAAAACGGAAACTCTTCATGAGCATGTACTGCCAAACGTAAAAAAAACTCGTTTCGAAGTAACAAAACTGAAAAAACTGGACTCGACCTCAATATGTCAGCAACGTCATATGCCGTGGAAACAGTTGCCAAAGAGGCCATCTCTGTCGACGTTATAACCAACTACACTCACAATGCCACACAGTTCACTGCACTGGGACAGCCAACGCAACGGCTGACTTACGGGGCTGGAGGTGTAGCGGCCATTACCGCCATCTCTGGCATCACTGCCGTGGTTACCATCATTGGCAACCTGATGGTCATGGCAGCCTTCGTCAAAGAAAGCAAACTGAGATCACCCAATAACTACTACCTGTTGTGTCTCTCCGTGGCTGACCTCTGCGTGGGCTTGTTTTCAATCCCCCTCTTCACCATGTACGAAGTGCTGGGATACTGGCCAGAACAACTCGGCCCAAAGGTTTGCGACATCTGGCTGGCTTCAGATTACACGTTCTGCACCATTTCTCTGTCGGGGATCCTGGTCATCAGCATCGACCGTTACTTATCGCTGAAGAAACCTCTGGCGTACCGTGTCCGACGAACCACGCGGCAGGTTCTCACCACGATCGGAATGGTCTGGTTGCTAAACCTCGTGCTGTGGTTCTCCGCTGTGTTCATCTTTCAGTACCATCAAGGACAGAGGCAGATTGCCCCTACCGAGTGTTATACCTACTACATTAACTCATTTGCATTCACCTTGGTCACTAACACGGCGTCAATATGGATGCCACTCGGTATAACATTTGTATTTTATATACTTATATACCGCATGGTGCGCAATTCTATTCCTGTTCAAGGGGGAGGGGGGGATCGAAAGCAAAGCAACGGGAATGGGAAACCTTTTACAGTGCGCTTTGCGGAAGTTGGGAAACGGCGATCGAAAGAAAGTTGTTCATCTAAGGATAATTCCGATGAGGCAGATATCGAAGGGTGCAATTCATTGTTGCAATCAGAGACGAGGGACCCTCTCTGTACCACGCCAGAGAGAAAGACATCGTGGATAGGAAGATTTTACAATAAGACTGGAGCATACAATGGTAGCATTGCCATTCGAAGAGCATCTGCTCCTGTTTCAAGCACAATAGACTCTGCTATTGAAAAAATCGCTCTTAAAAACTACGTACACGCCCAACGCTCCTCGGAAGAATCGAAAAGAGATCATGTAAACGGAGTTCGCTACAAGTTGTCCTCAAAGCCAGACCTTTTGATTAAGAACGGTCACCGACGAAACGGTTATGGAATAGAACAGCTCGCTTTACAAGAAAGCTCATGCGTTGAAATGGATACTCTTTCACCCCTCAGTTGCGTCACGTCTCGGGGACAATTTCGACGGTCCTCAGAAGCGTTCGTAGACAACTTACGAGCCATGGAACGGTCTGATTCCCTCTACCTCCGGCGTAAATCGGAGGGAGCGCTCGTCAGCCTAGGGACAAATGCATTTGAGGAGCAGAGTGCACACAAAAGCCGACGGGCCAGCATCCAAGAGAAAATGAAACTAGAACCTCCCGGAAGGCGAACGTACCCGGCTCGAGTAACTTTCAAATCCAATGGCGGTTTGAACACCGGGTCGGACAATGTATCAAAACCGTCCACGCCACCAGCGCTTTCTCGTGGGCCAAGACAAGCCCGACTCTTGTCTAACGCACTTTATATGTCCGTGACATATTCTAAGAGTGAAAACAAAGCACTTCGGACTTTGACCTTCATCATGTGCACCTTCACGATATGTTGGTTACCATGGAGTATCTTTGTCGTCATCAAGTCCACGTGCACCAACTGTATTGAGAGACATATTTATGCTATCAGCTATTGGTTGTGTTATCTCAACAGCGCGCTGAACCCCTTGTGTTATGCAGCGGCGAACCCGATTTTCAGAGTGACGTTTTGCTCCATTTTAGGATTAAATGGCGGAAATAGAACCACAAACTTGTCAAGGCCTTCTGGATCGTCGTCGTCACATCAAGAATAATACTATATTATTTCATTAAACCAGTGTTAATGTTGTACTGGTAGAGAGAATATTCTGTTTTTCAAAAGACATTTTTTTCGGGTGAAGTATCTAAAATTTGATAACATTCGTAGGCTAACCTCTCTCATTTCATAATCTTTTATACGAACACTTTACACATGTAAATTATGTGGAACTAACTCATATCCACATCTGTGTTTATGTATAGACTTGCATTTTAACGCGTGAACAACCAATATGCAGTTGAGATATGTAATAGCCCAACATATATACACTGTAGTAACAAGCACATGTATATTTTCTCTTATATAAAAAATCTCTTAATATATGATTTAGATATTGACTGTATGCCAATCGACTTACTGCTCATATTGGCAATATATGTACGATGAACATGTAACTTGTCAATCAAGTATTAAATTTATATAAAATTAATAAAACAAAATTATTGCAAATTGTCGCCGTTGAATTAACAACCATTTTCAATACTAAAGATTCTATCAAAACTCAAATGATTTAATGACAATTTTGATAGTCTTAAAAAGATTCAAGGTTCGCTTTTATAAAAGATCTATGGCTCGAATTTGGCCTCAATTACAGGCCAATTTTTTTTTACTTTAAATTCACAGTAGTTCTCTTAAAAAATAACATGGGTTAGAAACGTGGTAGCTATGTCTTTCTTGTTCTCAAAGGCTTCTTATTGAATTGCCAGTGCTTCGTCTTGGGTTTAAGTGGACCAAATTTTTTGTTTAAAAGTTAATTTTTCATGGTCGAGTTTCTCTGTGAAATGATGAGCGCAAAATGCAATTTGACATATGAAGTGCATGTGTACATAATTAGAAAGAAGTGGCTTCTTTCTGTGCAAATTGAAATTGATAGAACTTTACCCCCAAAACTGAATACAACAATAGTTTTACATTACAGCCTCCGAGAGACAGTTTACTATCAAATGGCAAAATAAAAAGTCGATCGATAATGGATGACTAGGATTACGCGAGTGTTTGGGCCTTTTTGGAGTACTAAAAGCCAGAGAGAAACACGACAGGAATTGTGCATTAGAAACCCCTACAGAAAAAATTAAGCCAATATCTAACGTGACAATGAAGATTGAAATGTGAACACTAAGGCTCACCTATTTTATTTTTCTAAAGCATGATTTAGTCTTCCACTTTGGCCTGAGGGGGCGAAGATGCGCCATTTTGTTAAGCAAACATATTCAAAACATCACATGAGGGCAGGCGCACCTTCTCAAACGTTAAAGTTGTTCAATTTTGTAAAAAATTAATTATGCAAAGAATGACACTCTTATTGAGAAAACGTGTAAATATTTCATGTTACTTGTCGCAAATATTCCTTCCAAGGCGTGCCCATGGAGGTATACTTCGCTGCATATAACATCCTCAAGTGAATAGCATATTGCAGAGTATTGTTTATTCAGCTATGGATAGTAATAGAAGGCCTAGGACAAAAAATCTAATGTTTGGGAAACATAACTTTACCCGCAATTTTATCCAGTGGACAGTGTTGTCCACAGGATAGCGTTGCACTCTTGTTGAAATTTGATTCTGGTAGCTGACGCCATCTATACTGTTGTCAACGACGTACAAGCTGTCACAGGGGTATTGATCGAGGCAGTACTTATGCAACTCTATGAAATCCACAAGATACCATTCTTTTCATAAACATTGCCTCAGTAATTAGTCCAAATACTCATAGGCTGTAAACAATACTTGGAATTGCATTCAATCTACATGCATGCATGCAATTCCCTGCAGACTAATGCTTAAAACTAAACACAACAAATGAATGCATGTCTATGATGATTTGTTACAATGTACACTGAATTGAAAAGCCAATTACACAAATCTAGTCAGTGCCATGATTGTGGCATGCTATCACTCCTAGTTTCAGAGAGCTAGAGGTAACTCTACTCCTCCCTCTCAACAAATATTTTCCGTGAACATTTCGTTTCAGTTTTAGCTGAAATGGAGGAACATGTGCAGGATCCCGTTTATCAAAAGTACTTCAGCTCAAAAAGTGTACAAACTTTTAGACCGAAATTATAGTTTACTTTGACCCATGTAGTCTTATGATAAATCGGTGACAATCTAATTAAAAGAACCCGTAACTAAACAGCGAGAGACCAGTGTGAAATTTGTCCTAATCGTTCGTAGCTGATATTGCGGTGCTCGCAACACGTGTTTTCCCATGCGCATTATGAAATTGCGGTTTAAGTCGTTTAGCTCCCAACCACAAAACCACGGTTTGACAATTATTGTTTCTAAAGCAAAAAATAGAATTTGGATCTATCATTATTTTGCGAAGACGCCTCCTGTACTATATACAGGTTCATATATACCATACTGGGGTAGCTGATACAGGAGAAGCGTTATCAATAGGCTTCAAACTCAGGGTACACAACACGCCTTGGTTACAAAACAAATAGGTCACATGAAACTCTCTGCCACTAAAGGTAAACAGAATCCTGTTATCTTAGTTCACCTAACCTTGCCTGCAAAACTAGGGCAAAACAGGTGACAGTTTTCACAGCACATATGCAGTAAACGTACCAAGTTTTCCAGATCTGTCGACATGCCGAACTATGAATATGATGACTGGAGGTAGGATCTCACAAAGCATGATTATAAGAGATATATTTATTCCTTCTATGCATGTAGACGTATTAATAAAAAAAATTACGGTAAATCTTCAAAGACTGTGAATGAATGATCTGAGAGCAACTGCCCAGTACTAAGCTTAATGAGTAGGTGTGACGTCACCTCAATGAGAAACTTTACATTAAAATTGCATCTTTTGTCTAGAGTTTTTTCAAATATGGCTTTCTTATTATGAAAACATTATAGATAATCGCAAAATGTACCCCAGGCATATCTGGGTAATATTTCTCGACAATACCTCATATGCGTGTTGTATAAACCAATGGTTAGCAACGTCATGTGCAGTTTGGCCAATTGCATAATGACGTTATCACGAAGCCAAATCCCGCCGCCCTACATGCACAGATGTTAAAGTGCTGGTGAAATTTTGATCTTTTCTATATTATCGTGCGAACCTGTCTCTTCAGCCCATGCTAGTTTCTTTACCAAGTTGTCAGCAAATTTTAGTATCTGTATTGGGTAGTAGCTAGGTTACCTTCTGAAGCAATGCATCTACAGTACCGGTATATACAATTGCAACTCTTGTAGGTTTCAGGGAATTTATTTATGTTTGTAGAAGAACTAAAGGATTTTCATTTGTCAGTTTTAAGTGCTGTCCATCGCCAGTGTTTCAAGAAGCATGTTATTGAGAAACATGCAAAGATTTTTGTAATGTACGTCGCACACATTTTTGTCTGCTTGTGCTTTTAAATATGAAAGTCAGAACACTTGCAGGGGCGTCATAAACCGGTGTCAGCTATTTTGGATGAATCACTTTGATAGGCTGCTTAAAATAATGACTAAAGGAGTTAAGCACTCTCAAAGACCACATAGTGAATGACTGCATATACACTCTATATCGTAAGATTTTACCTAAATTGAAGCATTTCACCCAAGTAGCTAATAGTCTGTAACACCGCGCGTTGTCAGTCCAACGCCTTACATCATGAGGTAAAAAAAAGTAGGGGCTGAAATTTTCACCCCTATATGCCCCTTTGGCATCCTTGGAGAATCTGTATTTCAGGAGAGCTTCTTTACACATATAGACTAATGCTAAGCGAAATACTGATATATATATATATATATATATATATATATATATATATATATATATATATATATATCCCTTCTTAATTCGTCCATTTACCAAAACCACTAATGTGTACAATTTACATCTTTATTTTTGTGATATAGGCATTCCACAAATTGGTTTCTATTATCTCTTTATTTTCACCTACTAAATAGGTGTTGTCGTCCACTCTGATTGATAACGGAAATTGTCTTGCCCTTCATTAGTATTTAGGTAATTGAGCACTTTGTAATGCTACCAACTCCCACGGAGCGGTTTGGTTAGCCACAATAGCCAGCATAGTAAATTTGCAGTACTTAGGTGGAAGCTTTATGTTCAAGTATGCTGGTGTTGTAATTCTAATTTTATCCGGTGTCCTTTGGACGCCTTACCAATTTAAAGCAAAATGGGACGCGTTGCGAATGGAACGCCCTCTGGAAGCGTCTAGACGGCGTCGGTTTTAACTATACGTTATGGAAACATTTTAAAAAAGCCTAGATCAAGGCTGTTGGTGCTGCGTGCTAGCATGCAAAACTAGAATCTGAATTAGGTGGAGTCGACCTAATTTTTTTTTGCGCCTGGAACATCTTGAAACAACGTCTAAGAAAGCAAAACTAAAGTGACACGCAAAACATGACGGATTCGTCTTGTTGTGCAATAGACTGTAATTCTATAGAATAGAAGAGTAAACAACTGGAAAACACATGTTGTGAAATCTGTAAGCGGTTATTCATTGCCGCACAGCAATCGCTGGTCTACCATTATTCCTGACCCCAATCTCTCTTCCAAGTCTGGCAACTTCTCGTAGCTTCTATATTTTAAATTGCTAGATATTAGGAAAGGTTTGATTCATTCTCATTGATAAAGGACCATTGGGCACCCGAAAAATGATTAGTGCTACTTCCTCTTAGCAGAGTAGGATCAAGAATTGGGGAAACACCATATTAGGGCCAATTGGATGGTAAATGTTCTTTAAGTTCACTTTGTCGTTTCTTCATTTGGGGGGGGGGGGGGCAAATAAAAGATTAAAGAGATTCATTAAATAGCAGAGCAAATTAACTAGTATGGTCTACCACAATCAAGATAACGGTTAAAGATCGTCTCAAAGATAAAAAGAAAACACAAACTCGTGCAATACATGAAATACATACGCAGTCAACTGCAGTATGAGTCAATTTTAGATATGTGTGTTGTTCAAAGGTTCAAATGATCTTTGAAAAGCCAAACTCTTCAAAATGGCGCGGGACTACCATTCAACTCCCTCCAGACTGAAATTGTCTCCTCTACCGGTATTTTGACATCCTGGGGGAGTTAGAGTGCATTCCCAGAGATTTAGATCGATCCATCCGGATCGACCTAACTCCCTGGGGGTTCACGATAAATTGCAGTCAGCCGAGCGCACACGACAGTTAATTACCCCCTTACAGCTTTTAGTAGGCGGGACAGACGCTTAAGCCGGCTAAGCTGACAGTTATCTAGGGTGACTCCCCACGGGGATAGATCGATCTAAAATCTGTCGGAATAGGGTCTTAGACTTTCTTGAGAGTCGGGCCCCTCACAGTCAAAAGTGATACATGTATGTTGCCCCATCATCATGGTTCGTGGAGTTGGTTTGTGCATAGTTACGTATGCGTTTGAAGCTTTATTCTTTAGGAGCCAGTGTTTAAAATGTTACTATTAATATTTTCTTACACTTAACCTAACTTGGCCGATTTACGTACAATTTACTTATAAACACTCTTCTTTTTTGTCTTCATAATATTATCCTTGTGTGGCATATTATCCACAATGCTATGCGGTTTCTGGTCTTCCGGATAGATCCGAGCGACGGTTCTGCATTTTTTGTGAAGACTGTTACATTGTACATATAGGCTCTACTTGTTTCTCGCGTTTTGATAAGTTGTCCTCTTAGAAAGGTTCTAAAGAATCTAATTAGTAGAAAAACACAAGAATTTAGTGTTGACCTTTTGGGTCTGTGTACAAAAGGTATTTCCTGCGACAGAGTGTCACCTTCATGCCAGTCATGTTTTATTGTGCCTAGAAAGGTGGGGTTTCAGCTTGCTGGAGAAACACGCCTAAAGACATTTTTTAAAAAACCTTAGCGATTTCAGCTCTAAGCAGATATCAGCAGCCAAATGGTAATATCACTCTGTTGGGTGCAGCAGAAGCACAGTAGACTCGAAATTGGGTCTATGTCTTTTAATTTATCTGAATTTGTTGGGAGAAGCAAGCCCCCGCTTCTCCTTGGCAGAATGAGACAACGCCTCCAAACAAAGAAGAAGAAATTACACAAGTTGAGACAAAAATGTGTAGAATGTTTTTAAATGATATAAAAAAATGCTGACAATGGACAGATTTTAATGTTAAAACGTCATTATCAAGGGCTTGTGCTTTCGTGTTTTTGTTTTTATCGTGTCCAGTTTTCCTGAACGATAAAGAGAGAGAAAAGGAAATTTAGAAACAAGCTGGATACATGTACTATATCTATAATATGTTTTCTTTTTTCTGTCAGAAGTGAAGTCATGCGAGAGCTGGACGAACAAGGTGTATCAGTTCTGCTTAACGTTCTCAGTGCTGCAGATAGCGACATCTTTCGATGTCAATTACACCAATGGTACAAGGACTTGGATGTCCAGGGTCGGAAACCATGTAGCAAAGTCGGATTGGCAGCACATTACCGCGTTGGACACCTAGAAGCTTCTTGGAATGTGAGGTTAAAGGTCAAAGATGTTTTTGCGCAAGTCTGGGGAACACGGAAGCTATTATCCAGTTTTGATGCAGTGAGTGTATGTTCAATATCTAAAAAAAACGGTAAACATTTAGTCAATGTAGAATTTACTTTCGATGCGTATAGTTACAGGTAGTACGAAGTGCGTTTGCAGGCTTAATGATACCTACAAAGTTGTAAAAACCAAAAAAATAAAGAGCTACGTTTTAATTTACAGTAGTTCAAACATGACTAGCTGTAATAGTGCTTTAAAAAGCTGAAAGTTTGTAAATCTGTAAAGTTTAATGGAAAGTTAATTGTTTTTACACCTTTAAACTTGGTGTAAACATGTAGGCCTACCGTGCTTCTAGTTTTTGCATTCCTTTTATTGTTAAATCACCCTCCAATTTTTATAACTATTTTAATGAAAATTTATTAAATTCATGCCAGGTGTCTGTTTGCGAACCGCCTGAGCTAGGCTACACCGAGTTCTACGACCCCAGTTTTCACTGGCTTCACATCGACCAGTCCGCTGAGCGCCGCGGGCTACATGCCTACCAAGGTTCTGTGACATTGGAAGACATAGCCGAAGACGATTGGCCCTTTTTGGTCATGCCGGGCTCGCATGTATTCCATGAAGAATTTTACCAAACGTTTCCCGAGGCTGTTGAAGGAAGCAACCATCTGACTTATCATGATTTGACCGACGCGCAAGTGGATTGGTACAAGAAGAAGGGTTGCGAGTTAATACGAAAACCGGTTCCTAAAGGAGGCATGATATTATGGGACTCTCGTACCGTCCACGCCAATGCAAGGCCAAAGCGAGGTCGTAAACATCACGATAGATGGCGCTACGTTGTGTTCGTCTGCATGACGCCAGCCATATGGGCTTCAGATACAGACATCGCAGATAAAAAACGGGCCTTCAATGAGCTGAAAATGACAGGACATTGGCCATCACAGAAAATAAAAGTTTTCGACGAATTGGATTATTCTGGAATTCGTGTCATCACCGACTTGCCGACAGTGGCAAAAACGGACGAAGTGAGGCGTCTGGCAGGCGATTTGGGCTATGATTTCTCTAACGACGAACCCAATGGACCGTCATGGCGTCCAAAGTGGGGTGGAGATAAAAATTGAAAATGTGTGAACTAGAGGAAACTGACTTCATATCTTAAATTGCACCTGACATTATTTTGCATTATAGTTAAGACATGTGTGGGCATGAAACATTTTAATTATCAAAGTAAAGTAGGCTATAAGTAGGCCTAATACATAACTCTACTGTATGTCCACAAAAAAGCTCCAAACTTTTTGAAACATTTTTATAGCCATTTAATTCAAAGGTTATTGTGCAACGGACACACGACAAAAAAGTGCATTTGTTACTGTTCTACCTTGGCAACCTGGACAAATCCTTATTTTCCTACCTATCTTTTTTTCTTGAGCAAAATTGTTAATAGCCTAAGCTTGGTAGTCGGATCATAAATGAAAAATTATCTTACACAAGCCGAAAATCTTTCATGCTCTTAGACCCCATTCCCACAGATTTTAGATCGATCTATCCCTGTGGGGAGTCTCACTAGATTACGGTTAGCTTAGCCGGCTTACATGTCTGTCCCGCCTACTAAAAGCTTAAGGGGGTAATTAACTACCGTGCGCGCTCGGCTGACAGCTCTTAAGCGTGAACCCCCAGGCAGTCAGGTCGTTCTAGATGGATCGATCTTAATCTATGGGAATGCACTCTAGGATTATTGTCAACACGAGGTTCAAGGTAAATTAATCCGGTTAATGATCAGGGTTACATGAAATCGAATATATAACGAAATAATTTCTGCATTTGGTTTACAAAATAGTTGTTAAATTAATTTTCTGGAGAGCATCTGCGACTTAAAACAGTGCAAGCATAAGGCACAGATACAGATTCATTCTTGGTTCTTTGTAACAGGACAGACGCAGTTAGGAAAATCATAAGTTCATAATTCCTAAACAAACTTCTGTTTTTCATCTTTTATCCAACCTGAGGTACAAAAGGAACAAATGAGTTTGTACTTTGTCTGCATAATAAACCCCCGGTTTTATTAAATAATGGCAATATTTTGATGCCTCTTTTACAGTCTGATGTGACTCACACCTTAAATAATACAATTTTTACACGTCCAGGTTATTTACACTAAATTATTGGTCCCTCCCGAGCCTGAATTCAATTATTTGTCTATAAATCTACCATATATTGGGGCAGCTTCCGCCCAGACGCTACACACTATGTAAACGGTGTATTAATTGCACAGCAAACGAAAAACAAGCTGTGCAAAAATCATACCCGTTTTTCCTCGGGCCGGGGCATTAGACGACGTGCAAAGAAAGTGTCCGCTGTCACAAGTTGTATTTATCATGACATTTTTGAAGTTAAATCCATCGATTATTTCAATTCCTGTCTCTTTGAGTTTGCTTTGAATAAATTCGTTCACGGCCGGAATCATGAAATAGTTAGAATCCTGTTGGCCCGAACGCTTTGGGGAGGTGTTGATGTATATTATTCTTAATGAGGACGTAAGAGGATTGGTCCGAACGCCTTTAATAAATTCGAGAAAAGGCGGGAACTTTTCTTCAATCAACTTGTCCGCTCGTTGAATTACGACATCCCAAATGCCAAAATTGAATAATACTATGTCACTAGCGGTCAACGGAGTGGTAACATTGGAAAGCATGATGCTCAATAACTTTTTTGTCATCGGCGGGTACACAGCAGAGACAACTGTGAAAGACGTAGAGTTTAATTTTGATCCAGCGCTGCGCAGTTCTTGCCTCCAATAAGTCGCCATATTTTGAACATGTGAGTCACCTAACACCCGAATACTGCGTTTACTCTGATAGCAGTGTTTTAGTTTATCACCGGACATAAATGGCAGAATACAGCCATCGTCTGTTCCCCAGTTCCAATCATCTTTAAATTTCCACCATCGACCTTTCACGTAATCGCGAGTTGATTTATTGAGACAACGAAGATCCGTCGTTCCGTTCTTTGGTGTTATAGGTATCCCACGCTCTGGACAAATGTGTTCCGTAATTAAATGTTTATGAATTCTTCCTGGCCACAGACCTCCGTCGTGATGCCTGAACGCATCAAAGTTAACGTAATCCAGAAAAACTGTCCCATTTACACAGCTGTATATCTTAGGACACGTTCCCGTGTACGTACCATTGAAGTGATCCCTAACCGAACAAATGTGGGCCTCCGTATGCCCAAGGAGTTCGACCCTAAAACTGCTACCTCCGCCTGACGGGTAAAAATAATTTTTCCCTTCCGGCTTCGATTCCTTTAAGAAATATTCTTGAATCCTAACGTACAGTCTTTCCCTTTTATTTGTAATGAATTGTACTGTGTGGCTACGGTTGCCGATGAAAGCCGTTTTCTTCGGGGGATACGCTCGACTGCAGTTGTACCAAAAATACAGTAACTGTTCAAGTTCGGCTCGGCCACTTTTCGTCCAGGCCTCATCTTCTGCTAATACAGGTGGTTCTCCAAATTCTGCGAAAGTGGTGAAAGGTGTTAGAAGATTGCCGTACCAAAAGACCGATAGGCCTACAACAATTATACATGTACAAAAGATGAAAAATGCGCGTTTCACTTGTGGTCTACACTTGTGTTTTGACATCCTATAACTACACTGTAACTTTCACTTGTTTAATATGGTTACAGAAGTGTTACCTTGTAGGATCCTGTCATCATTATGCTGCCAGGAGGTGTTACTTGCAATGGCTTTTGCCACCTGGTAGGAGTATTGGGGTTAGTTGGCTACCAAGGTATATACTAATAATGATGATGATGATAATAATAGTAATAATAATTTATTCAGCCTTTATAATGTTACATTTTAACATTGTTTGCTGTCTAAGCTACTTCTAACACTACTCTGTTATGCTTACATCAAAAAGGTAGATAATATAATATAATAAAGGATAAAATATCTATCAAAGCACCAGGACCTGCGATCTCACTTATATTAACTTATATTAACAATATGACAATATTAGACAATATATGGGGAGAGGATGTCACCTGTTCAAAGTAATCGGAACGTAATAGCTAGCGGACTTTCATTCCTGTCACGTCTGGGTCATATGCCAGAGGCAGCATAACCTCATAATTAATGGGATGCTGTCTATACGTGAAGCTGAAATTAGAGGCTTGAGACAACAGGGATGATGTTAGCTACTTCCAAAAATTGTGCCTTCATCAAGTGTGACAAAATAATAAACATGATCATTTTTAAATAACTTTATCATCAAATATTTAATGTAGTAGTTTGTCTCAATATCAAATACTATGTTATCTGCATAGAGAATAACCCTCTTGTTTGGTAAGTCAAGTTTTAATTAATTAATAAAGGTGAGTACTAAGTCTTATAAACTGAGTGGAAAATGAAATACTGCAGGTCTTGAAAAAAATCTTGTTTATTATGATTGCTATCAGAAATGAGGATTTATTGGAAAGATAAAATTTTTTAACTCTTTTACTATGCGTTAACTGTGATTTCTGACTTTGGATAAAGTATGCATCTGGCAAAACCGAAATTCTAGGAAAATTTTATAACTGCAAAGGTAAGATTAAAATGTCACCAAAGCAATCTGTTATTTCAATCCAGACCAAATTCTACCCGGATTTCAGTCTTGCCTGTGTTATATGTATGTACATACATGTAGGTTGTCACCTTTTTCAATAATTAAAACTTATTGTTATATTGATATATTGATATATAAATATTTTGTGAATATTTTAATTAGTTTTAAAATAATTTATGAAATAAGAGGTTCTGATTGCTGTTAATTAGGTTTTTTTTTTATAAATATGTGAAATAAAATGTTTGTTATCGTATCAAAGCTCTTCCATTTATTTTTGTGAAATTTGTTATTTCACATTTTTTTTTGTTGCCTTAAACTTTGGTCAAGGTAACTTACAAAAAAAAAAAAAAAAAAAATATATATATATATATATATATATATATATATATATATATATATATATATATATATATATATATATATATATATGTCTCATGCCCTTCCTTAGCTCTCTGCATTATCATTGTGACATTATAATCTATTGTTATAATTCCAAATGTTGATTATTATTAATATTATTTAAACAAGAAATTAACCATAGTATACAGAAAAATCACAGTAAAAAATAGATACTACCAGCAAATCTTGCTCTGCACAAAGTCCCGGTATATAGGACAGTAGGCCTACATGTACACTGTTAGAGATGTTATACCTATGCCATGCAGGGCGGATCCAGGATTATTTGAAGGGGGGGGGGGGGGGGGCCCGGATGCGAAGCCACCCCCCCCCCCCCCCCCCCCCCCCCCCCCCCCCCCCC